GCAGTGTCACCAGGGCTGTTACAGATATCGTTCATCAGTAGACAGGTGGCTTAACTGACGTCCGGCGTGCCCACTGCGGGGTGTCGGTAACAGTGGGAGTTTGCCAACTGTTCCGCGCCCGACCCGTTCGCTTGACTCCCTTTTGTGCCCTTCTATCGCCTCTTGTTTTTCGCTTGACTCTGTAATGCGACTTTCTATCACACCCTCAACCCGCAGTTCGCTTACCTTCGGGGGAAGTGTCCTTGTGCGTGCATGCTACAGGACTGGCGTCCTACCAACATCTTACTCCGAGTCAATCCTCTACACCCCCAAATGCAAAGCTTTGGTTAACCGCGGAATCTTATCCTTATGTAATGCGGCAGCTAGAAGAAAGGGTGGGTAGGTTTAAAGAATGGGAGTTGGAGGGAGGGAGAGTTGGATTTAGAGACATAATTTCGAGTTAGGAATCAAGAGGGAGGGGGGGGGCGTTAGATTTACATATACAATCCTTGTTGATTCTATTAGCACATCCTTTCGATTGAGACCTCAACCTTCTCTGCTTCAATTGGTTGGCCTACGTTCAGTTCCAGTTGACCTTCCTTTTGCGCCAGTAAATTTCTCCTATCCCTTAGCTACTATTATTGGCTCAAAGCTCCCATCCTTTGAACGGTGCAGGACCACTCCAACTAATTCTTAACTCACATAAACGAACCGCTGCCATGGTCTGCATCCTAAGTTTCCGACCACTTTTTTCCTGGCTTTCTTACGCTTTTCCCGTATACCCCATCAATGCACCGCGTTTACGTCTTACGTTCGCGGCAGCTTTGCGTATTACGCTAAATTCTTGCGAGCTGCTGGGAACAAGGGGTTGTCGGTGTGCAGTCTACTGACATCGATCTTCCACCATCGTAATAGACACTAAGGTTTCGCCTTAGTAGAGTAAATAGCCGCTCTGTGAGCCGACACGGAAATGTGCCTTCCAAGGCCAGTACTGGTGAGTCAGTTTGTTGAGTTGCCTGCATGCTCGCCACACACTACGGTAATTACTGACACTGATGTGGTAGGCACGGCCGTCATCACGCCAGGCACCAATGCCATTGCGTGCCACCAGCATGCTCGTAGGGTATTCCGTCTAAGCTAGAGCGTGTTTTGAGATTCATAGTTTATGTAGACAGACGAACATTACCAACAGAGATAAGGAAAACTGGAGTGTGGTCAGTTCTGGTGCAGTAACCCTCATCAGCCAGCCATACCCGACCTCCGGGGCGGCGCACCACCCGAAGCTCGAACCCGCGACTTGTTGATTAGCAGTCTAATGCTCTCTCCAGTGAGGCACGGGCTCGTTGTCTTGTCGGTTTAGCTCGGGAAAATTGGCGTAAGTGACTGAGGGCTCACTTATCAGTGATGAGACTCATTCATCCCGTGCTGCCCGGCCGATGAGGGTAAATATGCCAGAAATGGCCCTTGCAGTCTCTCAGGTCCTTGTCGGCAATTTAAAACCCCCAGTCTAGTTGCAGTTGCTTTGTTTTTCGAAG